CTCCAGTCAAATTGGTGAGTGATATTAAGATATATTTTCCTTCTGTTATGTAATTGTGTATATATATAACCATTTATTATTTTTAATATACAGTCCACAAATTTATATATTTACCAGCATTCCTGGTGTATGGATATTTCATTTAATTAATAGGTCCAGAGCAACTTGTGGATATGACAGTGGTAGGTATCGAAGGGGGACATTTTTTGCGACCTAAGTGTCCCAAATTCCTACTTGTCTAACTGATAAATAATAGAAATCATTGTTCATTTACTGTTATGTATATAATTATACATCCAAGTAAATGCAATTTTCCACAATAATAATAATAATAATAATAATAATAATAATAATAATAATAATAATAATAATAATAATAATAATAATAATGATAATAATAATAATAATAATAATAATAATAATAATAATAATAATAATATTAATAACAACAGTTATTATTTCTTCAAAGGGCGAAGGGCAAATATTTTACTAATTGTCAAAAACTTACCAACTTCTTTTTTGGGAGAGAGATGAAAATTAAGTATATTACAGTATTATCAGCAGGGCGTTTCTTAAACATTTTTGGCCCTAGTCTCCTTTGAGGAACTATATGAAATGCCTTCTCGAGATCCACGAATATGCAAGGTACTCATCCTTCTTCTCACTTCTGCTAATTTGCCATAGATCTCCACCAGGTTAGTAAGACAAGACTGGACATCTCTAAACCTGTGCTGAATAATACAGCTCATGAAATCACTTCGTTCCAAGTTCTCTGTCTCTTTCCTGATTATCCTTTGCAATACTTTACAAGACATGTATGTCAGTGATACTGATATTTACTTAACACTTCCTGTTTGTCTGTCTTCTTAAGTATTGGGACTATCATCTGTTTTCCATATCTCTGTCAATCGTCCATTGTTCATTGACAAGTTTATCCTAGCTAGTGGTTCAGTGTGAATAATAACAAAAAGTCACAATACCGTGACTGGAACAATCCACAAATAACCCGCACATAGGAGAGAGGAGCTTACGACGACGTTTCGGTGTGACTTTGTAAATTGTCTAAGTCGGACCGAAACGTTGTCGTAAGCTTCTTTCTCCTATAGAGAGTTATTTGGGTTTAGTGTGCTTCTTCTCCCTCTCATAAAGGCTTTTCTTTTTCTCTTTATCGCAAGTTAATGCACAGTAGATTTTGTGCACCACATATCCATCCCGTGGACGGTAGCACAAGAGCGTATGAATTCACAAAATTCCTACGAACTATACCCCAAATGGGTTAACAGGAGTATATCTGGATTTTTATTTTCAGTTCATTTATCTGTTGCACGCAAATTTCCGAAATATGTTTATGTCACACAGGTTATTATACTATTTATCTCAAAATTCCCCAATAAGTTGGGGGGCCACATACTTTGCATACTGGCAGTCTGCCAGACTGCCATAAGTACTGTTTATTTTATCATAGTGATTGATAGATCTATTCAGGTTTCTATCTGAATTCCTAAAACATTCAGTATCATTTATTTCTCTCCAAATTTTATTCCTAATGCTAGACATAAACACACCAGAGTTATATTTTACATTTTCCTTCAGGAAACTTGTTTGAATAACTTATCAACTATACCATGAAAGAACAATCCAGTGAGTGATGGAATCTATAACAATTTTACATTATTCCTCTTTTTTCCTGATTTTTTGAGTATCTATACCCCTCAAGGAAGGTTCCTTGATGTTGGTGAGGGGCTCTTGATTTAGGGAATTGGATCTGTGCTCCAGTTCCCCGAATGCCTGAATGCCTTCCACATCCCCCCCCAGGCACTGTATAATCCTCCGGGTTTAGCGCTTCCCCCTTGATTATAATAATAATAATGAGTATCTATATCTAGCTTTTCCAATGAGCATGTTGTTAGTATGTGAGTCAAGAGCCTTCGGTGATGAAAGAGAAAAATTAATAATTACAGAGTCAAGCTCAGTGTCATAAGTTAACTTTAGCGTCATTAGGACTGCAAACAATTCAGTTCGCAGAGTACACGCTCATTTGTTAATTTTCATGCTTATCTCAGTACAATTCCTAAAGTCATTATGTAAGAAGATAGTAACACGAGCACATGCCTGTAGATTCCTGCTTAGAAACATGAAGGGATAAATTTCTTATTGAACGATTCCTTATGATGTGCTTGCAGGTACGTGATGTTAAGTGAACACAACTTCCTTAGTGGGGTGAAATGCTCTTGTTGTGATACAGTTCATGCAAGGTATGAACTTAATATAACTGCATGTTTTTATAATCCATTTAGATCTGTAATTCCTTCTAGATATTTAGTAAGAGTTGTAGTGACTATGTCTGGTTCATTTCCTAACATTCTAATACCAAGTACAGGGTTAACCTCAATTATCTTACAAATGATACTTGAAACCCCAAACTTCTTCCTCACATTAAGAACCTTGCTAGATATAGGACAGCAAGAATAGTTCTAAAGGTTTCACTTTACATTAACTAAAAGAACCGGAGAGAATTTTCCTTAGCTAATTTTAAGATGGGTGCAGTATAATCAATTTAGGATTTAATATAGGCTATGTACAACATTTTCACTATTCTCACATTAGTACCAAAGTTGGGGTTATAGCCAGTAAAAGCTTTGCGAACATTTAGCCTGTCTTTGCATTTCTTATATAGCTGTGATATGATGGGTCCGTCTATATCAAGATATCTGTAAGATTTAACGTAGGTGATGTTTCAACCGTGGCATTTGCATACACTAATTACCTTACAATGCTCCCTCCGTCAAGAAGCAGTAGAGACGTGAAGACGATGTAATCCGTCCATCAACTTTGAAGATAAACTTTTAAAATGATCAGTCCCTCCGCATTTGTGACCCCTCTGTTACTTGATTCAGAAATTATCACTCTTTGTAGTTCATTCCCTGGCACTCTTGTTTCCTGGTACTTTTTCCCTTCCCAATATTTTGGAGAAACTAGCCGCTCTTTTCCTGACAGATCTAAAGAACACGAAAGAAGTGTTTTTTTCAATCATCCTATTAACTGGTCCTCTGCTGAAACTGACAACCCTTCCTCTAGCTATCACATACGCATCCATTATGTCTAACTTTTCTAATATGAATCTTAATCCTGGCTTTGCCTATGTAGATGCATTCCTTTCTTATTATACTGTCAAACGCTCTGAACTTCAGAACACTCGTTACCTGACCTTAATCCTATCTAATCTACTTCCTCCTACACCTTATGTATATTTTCATTGTCCTTCCTCTCTTCTACATAGGTGGGTTCTGTCCTATGTGAGTTTTATCATGCAGGGGATTTTGTTTTATCCTGCGTATGGCTTTTAAGAGGCGAATATTCTTTTAATATTTTCACTTAAGAAGTATTCGATTTCATATTTCATATTATTATAGATGTAACTGTTCTAGATACAGTCAAATAGCATTTAAAAGTATGACTGTTAAATAGTGAGCAGTTCTGCTTTCAGTGCCAGGCCGAAATATATCCATTTCGCTCATGGTTCTGGCTTAAAAATCGTGTAAATATTAGGTATTTAAGGGTTCACTAATCTTGTGTAATTTAGATAACACAATAAAAACGTGAGTTTTCAGCATTTCTCATATTTCTTTATTTAGTCATATTCTGTTTAAAAATATTTGCACTTCGACCCCAAAAATATTTAATTTTATTTTTAAGTCATATTTCATTTAATTGTTTCAAAACAATTGGCAATTTGGGTCTTTCACACCCAAATTCTACACAAAAATACAGAGTTTATAGGAAAATTGCATATGAAAATGCCAATCTTTCTTTTAATAAAGCCCACTAACAATTTTAAGCCTATCTGAAAGGCATTTTCTAGTAAGTTTTCTATACAGACGAAACTTATAAGACATCATCTTTCTTACTGAATGTTCCACAATTATTATTGTGAAGCCGGTCAGAAGAGGCACTGTTAAGTGACCTCAAGGATATCAGTGTCACAATTTATTTAAGAAAAAATTGAGACCCAATACAGCCCGTTAACAGCCTGAATCTTCCTTTCTTTAAAAAAAGACATCAACACTGAAAGATTTTAGCGGATCAAAAGAGACATCCACAATTATTGCTCAGATTGCATCTGTTCCCAGTTTGCTTTAACTGCTTCAGTATATTCACAATTTTGCTCCTACGAAAAATAAATAAAACAGTATACTTGCTGCAAGATCATTGAAGCCAATTGATTTTCAGTTATATTTAGAATGATTTAGTGGGGGAAAAATCACACTATTTTACAATTGAAACTGGCAAAACGATACCGTGTTATAATCAATTAATAAATGTGTGAAGTAATCAGAACAGTCTTCCTGAAATTATCATACGAAAACGAAATTTTGTAAATATGATATATAACACCTGACTGGAGGGAATGTAAACATGTGAATAGTAGCATAAACGTCTCCCCCATTATTGTAAACCAAGGGTGAAAATTTGTGTCGTTCTCAAGTCGAAAAGAAAGTCTGACGGAAGAAATTTCAAAAAAAAGTAAAGGAAAATAAAAAAAAGTAGAATATATCCGGTAATCACTTACAGGGATCCACTGGAACACCTAATGTGTAGATAATGGAAACACTTCCTTCCTACAGTGAGAGCCGAGCACACTCTCTATCTCTATGTTTCTATAGGTGAAGACGTTTCTACAGTGGGCGATAAGCACACTACATCTCTACCATTCTGTAGGTCGCGACGTTTCTACAGTGGGAGCTGAGTACTCTGTAATGTTTCCCTCTTGCAGGCGATAATGTTTCTGCAGTGGGCGCAAAGCTCTTAATGTCCTGTGCCATCTTGCAGGTGGTGACGTTTCTACAGTGGTAGCCGAGTACTCTTCTATAATCTGTCCTCCAGCTCTTTCTCTCTTGTGTTGACATTCCTACAGTAAAAACTGAGCACTACTATATGAACTGAATGGTGACATTTCTACAGTGGGAGGTAAGTACTCTATACAGTCCACCCTCCTGCAGGTAGTGACGTTCGAGTGGGAGCCGAGTACCTTGTATTATCGGGCAAGAAACGGAACAGTGCTTTATCTCTTCGGTCGTGATGTTGAGGTAGTGCGAGCTCTAGCTCCCGTCTTCAACTTCACTATACAGTTCATCGAACCACCAAATGGTTAGTGTACATGGAGGGTATTTAGTATGGCACTGACACATATCTATGGATAGTGTATGGAATGGTATGTGCACACACGCACCAAATCTTATGTGTGATAGATAAATAATAGATAACTAATTTTTAAGTTGCGAGAATGTTAAATTTTAGGTACACAGAATTCAAATGGGGAATGTAAAATTGTGAGGAACCGAATATAAAACTGTGAGGTACAGAGTGTAAAACTGTGAGGTACAGAGTGTAAAACTGTGAGGTACGAAGTGCAAAACTATGAGGTACAGTGCGAAACTGTGAAGTATAGAGTATGAAGCTGTGAGGGATAGGGTAAGAAGTGGTCTTGCTCCTCTAAACATGTAACTAGTGTGCTCTCCGTTCTTAGCTTTCTTGAGATTGTGATGATGGCTTCCCTCGACTACGAGCAGCTATATATTCAGCTTAAGAAGAGTTAATGGAAGCTGGACGTGAGATTCAATGACTGAAAGGTTTTTGCAAGGATTATTCCCGGATCAACGTAACGGAGAACAGCTGTGTCAATGCTCGGACCAAAGATTAGAGGCAGTTTGAAATAGAAGGAACGATGCTAAAGCCAAGGAAGGTCCAGGAGACTACTTTGGTAACCAGCAATTCCTTCTCAGTTTTGGCAGAGGAGTGTGAGATAACGAACCTAGACACACCAGCGAATATCATCCCAACGAAGATTTCAAGAACGTCACGATGAATACCGCCAGTCAAGATAAGAACATTGTTTTAGTTGGGGAGAGTGAGGTTAAGTTTATGGATAGAGCTTATTGTCTTAGATACAGGAAGAGGTGATAGAGGGTGTGTTTTCATGGATGGAGGATATTATTGACCATCTGGACAAAATTATGAGAGGTAAAAGGATCAATCCTATTACCTGTCTCAGTGCTGGATGCAATGATGTTGACAGACATAAGGGTGAGGACCTGATTACCAGGTATAGATCAGTGATAGACATAATTAGGAGGAAGGGAGGGCACCCTTTAATATGTGGCATTTTGCCATGGAAAGATGGGAATGAATTGTTTTCCAGAGCGATTGGTATTAATTGTTGGCTTGACAAACACTGTAAGGATATTGCAGTATCATTTATAGACAACTGGGACCTTTTCTATGGCAGATATGGCATATACCAGGGTTGGGGCTCACTTATGTAAAGCAGGTGTGGGGGCACTGGCCAATGAGAAGGAAGGAGCTGTTAGGGCCTTAAACTAGAGATAGTGAGACGTATAGTATTTTTGGGAAAAGCAATAAAATACAATAGGAATGGGCAGGAAACCATTTATAGGCAGAATAAGGTAGAATTATTAGTGAATATTGAAAAGCCATCCTTATCACTACATGATAGGGACGGTAATAAAGATAGTGGAGGACCAGGAATGAGCAGGGCGAAAAATAAGAAGAGAGGGTTTCTAACTTGCAGAAAACTTGCAACTAATGAGGAGAATGAAAGCAAAAAAGGATCACGAAAGACTACAGTGGGATCCGGACAGGCTGCTTGGAGGACAAAAAGATCACAGACGGAGTAGAGACACGGGGGTCAAATGTCATATACCTCACTCGAGGAAAATGATCTTTGGTTGAATATCACAGTGACCACATCTCCTGAGGTGCACATTAACCAAATTACTGCAAAACTGTGGCTGGCCAGGACTCGATTCTGCGTTCCCAAGCCCAGCCCTGTGAGAACTGAACAAGATATGCATCCCTCTATTCACTGGACCAACAATCCTTAAACACCAGGCACTCAGCAGTACAGAGCATGTTGTTCCTGGTGCAAGGACATATGTGGTCGTGATTTCAACCTCATCCAGTTTGGGGTACCAGCCTTCAAGAGCAGTCAATATACTAATGAAATCACGAAACAAGTGATTTTGAATCAGCTTCCAGCCGCAAAATCTCTCGTTTCGTTATTCCATTAGTATAAGTAGGTGGGTTTATTTAGGTACACATACACATAAAAACAGTTACATAGATAATTTTATCATACATAGATGCATATGGTTTTTTTTGGATAGCCCAAAAAGTCAGAAAAAGTGACGTATTTCCATAGTGGTCCTTGTGTTGACAGACGTTAGTACTAAACGTACTAACCCCACCCACCCTTTTACCATATTTCCATCTTTATCCATGCTTCTCCCTTCCCCATTTTACAAAAGCTCTGGTCATTACTCAACACACACTGTATCTGTGTATATATGTGACGCACACACACACATGCACTCACACACACAACCGTTAACTTACTATAAACAAGCAACACTCCCTCAACTCTGTACAAACGTACTCAAACACACACACACACTCCGGGCGAGGCCAGGAGCTGTGAATCGATCCTTGTAACCACAACTAGGTGAGTACAACTAGGTCAGTACACACACAAACACACACACACACACACACACACACACACACACACACACACACACACACACACACACACACACACACACACACACACACACACACACACACAGAACAGAACAGAACAGAACAGCATTCCGACATCTTAATAAGGAATCGTTCAGGACCCTGTACACCGTGTATGTTAGGCCCATATTGGAGTATGTGGCACCAGTTTGGAACCCACACCTAGCCAAGCACGTGAAGAAACTAGAGAAAGTGCAAAGGTTTGCAACAAGACTAGTCCCAGAGCTAAGAGGTATGTCCTACGAGGAGAGGTTAAGGGAAATCAACCTGACGACATTGGAGGACAAGAGAGATAGGGGGGACATGATAACGACATACAAAATACTGAGAGGAATTGACAAGGTGGACAAAGACAGGATGTTCCAGAGATTGGACACAGTAACAAGGGGACACAGTTGGAAGCTGAAGACACAGATGAATCACAGGGATGTTAGGAGGTATTTCTTCAGCCACAGAGTAGTCAGTAAGTGGAATAGTTTGGGAAGCGATGTAGTGGAGGCAGGATCCATACATAGCTTTAAGCAGAGGTATGATAAAGCTCACGGCTCAGGGAGAGTGACCTAGTAGCGATCAGTGAAGAGGCGGGGCCAGGAGCTCGGACTCGACCCCCGCAACCTCAACTAGGTGAGTACACACACACAGTCTAGGGGGCCAGAGACTACAAACCTCACTCAAGGAAAAAGATCTTGGGCTGAGTATAACACCAGGCACATCTCCTGAAGCGCACATCAACCAAATAACTGCTGCAGCATATGGGCGCCTAGCAAACCTCAGAACAGCATTCCGACATCTTAATAAGGAATCGTTCAGGACCCTGTACACCGTGTACGTTAGGCCCATATTGGAGTATGCGGCACCAGTTTGGAACCCACACCTAGCCAAGCACGTAAAGAAACTAGAGAAAGTGCAAAGGTTTGCAACAAGACTAGTCCCAGAGCTAAGAGGTATGTCCAACGAGGAGAGGTTAAGGGAAATCAACCTGACGACACTGGAGGACAGGAGAGATAGGGGGACATGATAACGACATACAAAATACTGAGAGGAATTGACAAGGTGGACAAAGACAGGATGTTCCAGAGATTGGACACAGTAACAAGGGGACACAGTTGGAAGTTGAAGACACAGATGAATCACAGGGATGTTAGGAAGTATTTCTTCAGCCACAGAGTAGTCAGTAAGTGGAATAGTTTGGGAAGCGATGTAGTGGAGGCAGGATCCATACATAGCTTTAAGCAGAGGTATGATAAAGCTCACTGTTCAGAGAGAGTGACCTAGTAGCGATCAGTGAAGAGGCGGGGCCAGGAGCTCGGACTCGACCCCCGCAACCTCAATTAGGTGAGTACAACTAGGTGAGTACATACACACAGGCGCACATATACATAGAAACAAATCCGTTAACCAGCCCCTGAAGAAAAACAAATTCCACCCTCTCATCCAGCCAAACACACACACACACACGCACGCACACGCTCTCGCTTCACTCAGAGGTTAACATTAAGAGCTTCACTGAGAAAGAAATGCGACCCCAGCTGGGAGGTAGAAGACCCAGGGGAACAGAGCAAGTTGGGCCTGGAAACAAAGAATGGATGAAAGAGCAAGGAGAAGGATGGAACAAGAGTGGGAAAGGAAGATAGGAGAGCTTGTCTCTAAAATGGAGAAAAGGGTGGATTCAGAGAACAAGTAGTGGGAGTCTTGAGTCAAAGCTGCAGAAGCCAAAATACAAAACCTAGAAGATGAACTGAAAATGCTGAAGAAATATATAGAGCCAAAGAATGGAAGGGGCATGCCTTCAGGAGCAGGTACTCCAATATCCAAATAGGGGACCAAAAGGAAGGAAGAGGTTAAATCCTATGTTTGGACTCGACCAGACCTCCAGGAAATGTCGAGGAACAAAAGTGGCATGCTGCTGGGCACAAGGACACCAGTTAAGGGGAAATGGGGCAGGTAGAGAGGGTGATAGGCCCCTGCAGACAGCTTCACATGGCCACCGGGAGAGCCAGGAATCGATAAGTGAAGCACCAATGGCTATGCTTGAATGAGGCCCAGAGTAGCGTGGGGAAAAGCATTGGGAGGAGAAGAGGGAGAGGTCAATTTTTACTAATTCGGCTTCAGGACATTGAAAATATCATCAAACAAAAAACAGAGGAGGATATGACTGAGCTGATAAATTTTCAGAGAACAGGAGGATACTCCGGAGGAAGAAATTAGCCAGTCAAATTGATTTTCAAGACAGAAATGGTGCTGAACAGAATCCTGCAGCAGATACACTAGCTAAAAGAAATAGCAAAACACCAGAGGGTGTACCTAGATCATGGCAGAATGAGAACAGAAAGACAGAAACTGAGAGAAAGGATACAAAGATGAAAGAAGCAAGAAAGAGAAACAAGGCTAGAGTCAGGAAGGAACAACCAGAGTTGGGGGGAGTAGGACGTGTAACCACTCACTCAACTACTCACAGAACCCAGCAACCAAATATACTATCCAAAACCATACACCACACTCAGAGACCCCACCCCATCTTACAAAGTACACTCCCATAGCACACTGACAGA